AATTGTTATAGACATAAATAAATAAAATAGAAGAGTTTTTCTTTAATAAATAAATAAAATTAGAGGATAATGAGAACTTGTGTAGGCATGAATTGTAAAAGAGTGATGAATAGTAAAAAGAAATAGAGTTGATGTTGTATAAGAGTTTGTGAATTAGTTATTTAGTCCGTGGAGGAATTAGGAGTCTAAAATGAGAAAATTAGTAGTTTATAGAGTGAGAAAATGACATATATATAAAAGAATTCTTATAAAATTAAATGGTTTGAAACTTTGTCATATGGTCAGGGGGGTGAAGGTGAAGGAGTGACGATGAGAGAGAAAAAATAGACTTGATGTTGTTTAAGAGATTGTGAATTAATTATTTTCTTTGGAGGAAAAAAAAAACAAAGAATTAGTTATTTAGTTCTTAGTTGATAGAGAGAGGAATTAGGAGTCTAAAGTGAGAAAATTAGTAATTCATATAAAGAGAAAATAAAATAAAAAAGAATTCTTTTTTAATTATATGATTTGAAATTTGGAAAAACTATATATAGGTAGAGAGTTATGAGTCTTAAATCACAAATTACTTTATTTTAAAAGAAGATTTTTTATTTTAATTGAATTAAATTAAATAATTACAAATGCATCAAGAATTATTGATAAGATCCAAAATATCCTCCAAAGTCTTATAGGTAAAAGTATAATTATTCAAAATTTTATAGGTAAAAATATAATTACTCAAAATTTTATAGGTAAAAGAATAATTTTATTAAAAAAATAATACGTAAAAGTAGAATTATAAAAAAATTTATAGGTAAAAAAAGTATAATTATTCAAAATTTTATAGGTAAAAGTAGAATTATAAAAAAATTTAAAGGTAAAATTAAAATTATTCAAACTTTTATAGGTAAAAGTATAATTATTCAAAATTTTATAGGTAAAAGTATAGTTACTCAAAATTTTATAGGTAAAAGTAGAATTATAAACAAATTTAAAGGTAAAAGTATAATTATTCAAAATTTTATAGGGAAAAGTATAGTTACTCAAAATTTTCTACGTAAAAGTAGAATTATAAAAAATTATGTATGTAAAAGAAGAATTATAAAAAATTTATAGGTAAAAGTTGAATTATTCAAAATTTATAGGTAAAAGTATAATTATTCAAAATTTTATAAGTAAAAGTATAATTATTCAAAATTTTATAGGTAAAAGTACAAGTATTTAAACTTTTATAGATAAAAGTATAATAACACAAGGTAAAAAGTACAATTACTCATTATTTTGTAGGTAAAAGCACAATTATTCAAAATTTTGTTGGTAAAAGTAAAATTACTCAAAATTTTATGTTTAAAAGTATAATTACTCAAAATTTTGTAGGTAAAAGTAGAATTATAAAAAAATTTGTAGGTAAAAGTATAATTATAAAAAAATCTGTAGGTAAAAGTATAATTATAAAAAAATTTATAGGTAAAAGTATTATTCAAAATTTTATGGGTAAAAGTATAATTATTCAAAATTTTATTGTTAAAAGTATAATTACTCAAAATTTTATCGGTAAAAAGTATAATTACTCATAATTTAATAGGTAAAATAGAATTATCAAAAATATTAGAGGTAAAAGTATAATTATAAAAAGTTTTATAGGTATAATTATAATTATAAAAAATTTAAATGTAAAATTATAATTACTCATAATTTATATGTAAAAATAGAATTTTTTTTTTGAAAAATTATAGGTAAAAAGTATAATTATAAAAAAAAAATTAGGTAAAATTATAGTTATTAAAATTTTAAAAGTAGAATTATTATAAATTTTATTTATAATGGTATAATTATTCAAAATTTTATATTTAAAAGTATAATTATAAAAAAAAAATTAGGTAAAATTATAGTTATTAAAATTTTAAAAGTAGAATTATTATAAATTTTATTTATAATGGTATAATTATTCAAAATTTTATATTTAAAAGTATAATTAACCAAAATTTTATAGGTAAAAGTAGAATTATAAAAAAATTTATAGGTAAAAGTATAATTATAAAAAATTATAGTTAAAAATAGAATTATTCAAAATTTTATAGCTAAAAGTATAATTTTTCAAAATTTTATAGCTAAAAGTATAGTTATAAAAATTTTATTTGTAAAAGTATAATTACTCATAATTTTATAGGTAAAAATAGAATCATAAAAAATTATATAGGTAAAAGTATAATTATAAAAAAATTTATAGGTAAAATTATAATTATTAAATTTTGAATAATTATACTTTTATCCTATAAAATTTGAATAATTATACTTTTGTCCTATAAAATTTGAATAATTATACTTTTAACCTATAAATTTTGAATAATTATAGTTTTCGTCAATTTATTTTGAATAATTCAACTTTTAACCTATAAATTTTTAATAATTATACTTTTAGCCTATAAATTTTTATAATTCTACTTTTAATCTAATAATTTTGAATAATTATACTTTTACCTATAATTTTTTTTAAATCTACTTTTGACCTACAATTTTTTTATAATTATACTTTTATACAAGAAATTTTTTATAATTATACTTTTATCCAATAATTTTTTTATAATTATACTTTTAACCTATAAATAAAATTCAAAACTACAATCAAAGCATAGTATGAAGCACCACCGTAGAAATACAAATTAAAATGGTTTCAACACTCACCTCTACAAATTGAAATGGTTTTCACACTCGCCCCGCAAATTGAAAAATTTTGAGTTAGAGTGAGTAATTTCCACCCCCAATTTGTCATTAAGGCCAATTAAGACCCTAATTTATCAATCTCGTATTTTAGCAATCCACAATGGCGATCTCTGACCACAATCTTTGCAATTTCTTACATGCTATTTTTGCAATCAATTCCCCTTCTAACACAGAAATTTGCAAAACCCTAAGGCTTCAACACTCGTTGCCACATCTTCGGCGACGTAGGTCTGCGGATCTCATCAACAAAAGCAAATCTCTCTTTAATGATTTTCCACCTCTTCGTCGTTCTTGTCGTCGCAGAGTGAAAAAAGAAAAGAAAAAAGGGAGGTGGCCTAGAGAGAGAGGGGGTGGTGGCGATCGTGGACGATGGGGGTGTTGTGAGCAAAGAAGAATCTTTTGGGGGGAGAGAGATCGTTGCGGCCATGGACGATTGGTGGAGTTGCTTAGAGAAAGAGGGATTGTGGAAGATGATTTAGGGAAGAGAGACGTATATGTATATATAATTTAGATGGAGGGATCGATCATTTTGGCCGATTTCTTTGACAGAATCGTAGTCCACCTGGCATCCAACTTACCAAAAAAAAAAAAAAAATCTGTTTTGCTTCTTCCCTCCTCAGTCGACGTCGATTTCACCTTCTTGAGGAGTCCGGCGTGACCTGCAAGACTGCAAACCCAAACCTTCATCATCACCAAGGGCAACCCACAACCTTCCATCACCACACCAAAATCACCTTCTGAATCAAACCAATTTTCGTCATACAAACCACAACCAACCAAACAAAACCCAAAACTTGATCCGAAGAATTGCAAATCCATCACCACCGATTTTTTGTTTCCAGCTTTTTTTTTTTTTTTAACCCATCACTATATATATATATATATATATATATATAAGTACAGTATTGATGCAGGAGTTCTGAACAAAAACAAAAACAAAACCATCAAACTACAGTGAACAGTCGCCGGAATCTTCTTTGGTCGCCATCATCCGAAGCCGCAGTTAACAGCCATCGCCGGAATCGTGACTTCACTCGTCGCTGTCCCTGTTACCACCGGAATCCTCTCTAGTCCGAGGATCAGACCTTGCTCGCCGGCCGCAGTTCCTAGCTCTCCACCGACCGTCTCCATCTGCGCTAGACTGTCTCCACCGACTGGCTCCATCTGAGCCCGTCTTCATCCTCGCCGTCCTTCTCACCGTCATCCCTCCCTTCGCCGGAATAGCGACTTCTCTAGTCGCTCTGTCGCCGCCGTTAGGCCGTTCCTCCATCGTCGCCAGTGGGGTCTTCTTTTGCTCATGGTCATTCCAGCCCCGCTGCCGACTGTCTGCTCACTGCCATCACCACATCACCGAGGTTGCCGTCCTCCAAGTTCTCTTCACCGTGTTGCTCGACGGACTCTGCAGCAACGTCCTTGTGCCGCCGATCTCACAGACCCAACCCATACGGAAAAAATGGGTTTGTTAGAAAGAGAAAGAGAAGAGAGAGGAAAGAGAAATTAAGGAAAGTTGACAACTGGACAGCCACGTGTTTCTCCTAACAAATCTGTCTAAATAATTCGCACAAATATTATTTTCTTTTGCCCCGGCGTAGTAATGGTGGTTAGAGCTTGGGCTTTCACGCTCGGGTTCGACTCTTAACTTACGCGTTTCTGGAGCTTGGGCTTTCACGCTCGGGTTCGACTCTTAACCTCTGCGTTTCTGGACTCAACCGGAGGTGTCATTGAGCAGGGCTCCACCCTCCAGGTTTGTACCCACGGTAGGTCCCTGCGTGGAGTTCCTGAGCCATCAAAAAAAAAAAATTATTTTCTTTTATTTAATAGTCATAAGGTTATTTTTGTTTTTTACATGGTCACATGTGTCATGTGCCTTCTTGTAACTTATAAGATTTCAAAAGGCAAACTAACGGTTTTGGAAATTTTTTTCAACAAACAGAAAAGTTTAGGGGATTAAGTCTTTTTAATAATTCGGGGTTTTTTTTTTTTTTTTTTTTTTTTTTGACAAAGAGAAGAAAGTTCAGGAGGGCACTTAACCCTATTATTTATAATTATAAATTTATACAATGCATGCTCATTTATATAAGTTCATAATATTTTCAAAAATCATTATTTAATAATGCTAATTCAATCACTTGCATCGATGCAAGTGAATTATACTAGTGTATATAAACATAGATATATATATATATATATAGATAGAGAGAGAGAGAGGAATTTTAGTGCTTTGAAGATTCACAACTTGCTTATGGCCAAGGTAAAGATAAAAACAATTGTTTGTTTTTCGGGAGTTATAGAAACAATTGTTGCTTGCAAATGTTAAATCCCAACAAATTCATTCCTTCAATCTCCCTTTAAGAAGTACCTTCTCCTACCAAATACAAATACCATAATCGAGTCGAGAAAAATAAATAAATAAAAAAGAAAAGAAAAACATAAGAGAGAGAGAGAGAGAGAGAGAGTTAAGCAGCAGCCATTACATGGGACATCCAGTGTAGGGGGAAAGAAGGGGAATATAACTACATCTAAAGTGAGTCTGATTTCATGCTGTGTGTTCTAAATTAAGAAGGCTGTCAATTGCAGCCCGGGGGTGGAGAAAGAAATTATCTCGGGGCTTCGTCCTAAACAGAACAGTTGAATACCATCACCAAAATTATATCATTTCATCTGTAAATAACATTTGGTCCCCTCCCAGTTTTCATTTCCTACCATCAAAAGCTTGAGAAAGCACCATCATGGCCTTTCTCGGGAAGACCCTAGTCACACTTGATGTTTCTGTAGATCCTCCGCACAAATAGATTAGAGCCCAAATATCCAACAGCTCCTGCACATTTAAAAAGACATTCAACTGAAGTTAATATACTGTCAATAAAATTAAATGCATGACATTTTCTTATTGTTTTTGTCAAAAACTGAGGCACTCCAGGTACAAAACTGTCTCAGGTTAAATAGGCAACCCAGAAAGACATTACCACAGGTCATGTACTGGCAGCAAACTCCACCAATACAAGCCTTTGCAGGCAGTTCCCAGATCCCGGATTTATGAGAATTGGGCCCCTCAAATCTTCAAGAGAAGAAACGCCAACGAGCATTTGAGGTAGAGGTCAACCACAAAACAGAGTAGAACGTGAAAATATTTTTTCATATATAGAACCTAATTGAAGCAAGTTCCAATTTCATATATAGAACCTAATTGAAGCAAGTTTCAACAGATTCACAAAACTTCAAGCTTACTCCGATTTCAGACCAATTCAAAATTTTGACCATGTTCAACTGCTGATTTACAATTTGTTACATGAACTCTTCAGAGGTAAGGTGATGTACCCATGTTGGACACACAATACTAGAACATGGGCACTCAAGTCCATGTAATATAGGTGATAACAAAATCGTATACCAAATCCATAGGAGGGATCAGTGTTCCATCAAAAAACTTGACAAAGGGATAAGTTTCAGAACAGCAGAAAAATAGGTACCTTTCATACTCGATAAAGCAGCGAGACAGAAGCGCACTAATAAAAACAAAACTTTATAAATGCAGAAAAACTCACCACAGAGGATTCCTAAACCAAGACAAAACATCAGAGTGTATCCAAAATAGAAGCTCGTCTGGAAGAAGCCTGACATCTTAGTCTTCACGGAGAAGTAATATATTGAATACAAGTACACATAGAAAGCTGTTGAGGCAGCAGAGAAGAATGAAGTCCATTGCCAATGATAGTTCTCGGCATTTAGCAAGAAATATGTCCCAACAATTGTCACGCAAACCGTAACAATTATGAGAATCAGAAAAACCAGGAGCATAAAGCCATAGACATAGTACACCTATAAGTCACCCAAAAAAAAAAAAAGATTTAGCTTCTGATGGTTCATAAAAGTACCATGATCCATGAACAAAACATATTCCCATGGACTTTTTGTCACCAAAAATTTAAAGCTGGTTTGTGAACTTCGTGAACTTCCCATTTAGAACATTTTTAATACATAACTACAATTCCTATATAAATGTTCGTTTACAAGAATGTTGAATCAAAGCTATTAGAAAGGCAAGGACTGGGCAACCCCAACCCAAAGACAATTTGACGCAGCTGCAGGCATTTCTATTAACCACCAGATTGCTGTGGTTGTCCTCCGCGGCTCAGCCTAACCCATATCTATGTCCTAGTCGCATGAAAATTGTAAGGATTTTAAGAGAATATTGTTTATATTGTACAATCAAGTATTATGACAACTCTGGCTTTATACTGACTTCTAGAGGATTTCTTACACCTTCAAACGCTTTAAAGAACAGAATCAAATAATTAAATTCAACGGCAAGTCTTCATTGCTCCCTAAAACTACTAAAAAGGACCTAAGATCCTCCACGACAATGTGACGTTTTCATTTCAGTACCCAAAATAAGACCAAATGTTGCAATATTCAGAACTTTTAATCTCACTGTCAAAAATGACACCATGAGTATATTTTCTATGTTCCCTAATAAGAACTTACAAGTGAGGATTCCAAAATTTACCTTGTAATTCCAGAAGGATGTGAAGACAAAATACATCTCTATGAATATGCTACCAAAGGGTAGCAATCCCCCCATCATTGAGACTACAGATGGTGTGAGATACCATTTCTTCTCTGGGATTGGACGAGGAATGGTCTTCACACGGCATGGATTGTTTGGCGCACCACTCCAGTTTCTTCCAAAAACAGTACCAAGAAGTGCCAGAGGGAATGAGATGAAACCCCAAATGACAAATACAACCACCATTGTGCCAAAAGGAATGGCTGCTAGAGACCCATAGAATATAGCAATTGTGTTCAAAACGAAACCAATCCCAAAGCACATAAATGGAAAAAGTGAGGCAGTGAGGATCATCGATTTTATCCAGGATTTACCTGACAAGTGGCCAGACAAATAATATTTCAGAAAATTTATCTGATGACAGTCGGTATGTTTTATAGAGAGGAGGAAAAAAAAAAAAGTATGTTTTAAGACATCAAAATCAAGCACAAAATGCACTAACCAAAATAACCTTAGAATATCAAGAAAATAAGCCAATTGATAAATATAGCACATACCCCCATGGCGTGAGTACATCCCACCACTCACATAACCCGAAATGAACGATGTGAAAGCATAACATAATATAAATGTTGTGACAATTGCTCCTCTCCTGAAGCATATAAACAGCATCAGAGTCGATAATTTAAAGCCAGAAACTAGGAGGAATTTATATATGGGAAATACTTTGAAAATATATTTACAAGTGACAATCAAAGGTTGGGTTCTGCAAACACAACTCAAAAACAGATCGAAACACACTTGGATTGAAAGATATGACATACAATGTACTAGCTTCTGACAACACACAGATTATAGACCATAGTATAGATGGAGAAATATGATATATATACACATAGTTAATACTACAGAACAGAAGGCAAGGAAAGATGGAAAGATGGCATTTATGAAGCTATACTCCAGTAAAACAAATATAGAAGTGTGTGTGAGTGTGTATGCTTGTGGAGAGAGAGAGAGAGAGAGAGAGAGAGAGTCATTTAAAATGGTAAACTATATTTTCCCGATCCATACAGAACAGTTCACAACTATAACGAGACAGCCAGGCATAAATATAAACAGCCTAAAGAACAGCAATGTTCCAAATATTTTATAATTAGTTCTCAACATACCCAATGTACAGCATTCCAACAATTGCAAACAAGATGACGAGGAGAACTAGCAATGCCAGCTGAGCACCTGTGCCAACAACAGCTGAGAGAATAACTAAATTGCGAGAAGGCCGAAAAACATCCCCATGAACAAGTTTCCAACCCGACTCTTCATTCACATCTCTTTCCTGTAAAAGAGATCATCAAATAGTCACCAACATTTTACTTCTAGAAATAGTAGTAAAATTTTGGATTGCTAAAAGTTCTTATGATTCTGCAATCAAAAAATGGATGAGTTTAAGCGGATACAATTTGAAAGATTTTGTAAGTTCATTGATCAGGGCTTGATGGAAGAATTTTATAAGTTTCCAAAAATTGAAGGTACAGATCAAGAAATTGAATTTCAATTATTTGTGTAAAGTATCAATTGGTAGAACCATTCATAAAAGAAAGAGATGTTGTGTATGAATCACTCACATATTCTTCTAAATTATATATATCTGCGGGATTAATTCGGAAAAGGGGTAAGGGATATGCAAGAACAAACAAATTTTATTGTAATTAGATCCACAAGAACTCTGAAGTCCTAGGTTTCAAATACAAAATAAATCATTTAGAGCTCGGATTTCTAGTCCATTTTACTTTGGTAGTTCGATTACCGAATTTCTTTGTTTCTGTTTTTCTAGAATACAAGTGTGTGACTTGTTATAATTGATCCTATTGATAGTACAGAGAATGGGTTTGTCACCTTGATAGGCACGGTCTAAGTAGCTGATCAAGAGAGATGTGAGAAGCAGGAATGGCCCCAAAAATCGAAAGTCTGGATCAATGGACAAAGAACACCACCATTTTTGTTCAAAAAGATACCAAAATGGTTTGGGCTTTTATTCGCACCATGGCCTGCACAAAGTCGAATCAGGGAGCGCTTTGGGAGAAAGGTTCTGAAGTAGAGGGACCTCCCTACCCAGCAACAGGTTAACTAGAGGAATGCCAGGTGATTTTTCAAGACTAAAAAACCGAACAAAGTTCTTTTTGCTACTTATAATTTTTTTATATATTTTCCTATTTCTAAATAAAGTTTCAATTTAGAAATTGTGAATTACCTCGTTCATTACAACACTACCTAACCTAAAATAAGGTTTCCCTTGGACTAATAATGGGTCGGACAGAAGCAAGTCGGTATGCTAATTCCTCATCGGCTCATCCTCAAATCAGCCCTTCCCATGGATATTTTCTCAACAAATAAGTAATTGTTGCAGTCCTGCTTTTTGCTCTTCCAGGAAATAAGAGAGTTTCAAAGGAAGGAAGACAAAAAGTCCAGTGGTAGAGCGGCAATCAATAAGGCAGCCAGCTTTCATTATAAAACTAATTACCAATAAACTATTAAAAGAGACCTTCGAATGACTAAATACAGATAGCAGGATGTCTCTTAGTAAAGACTAATGGTTGCTCATGCGATTTTGAATAGAGTAATAGTAATATTTTCTATGTAAAACCTGAAGCAGCTCTATCTAATAACTTCTAATTACAATATGAATTATGAAAAAATTGACATACATTTAAATAATCCATTAAATTTTAGGGAGCATTACCAGAGTCTCCAGATCATCATCTTCCCGGGCATATTTTGCATAGTCATTTCTAAGAGTCCGCATCAATATCATTGAAACCAGACCAGTGAGGAAGATAACCATCATGAACGAATTAAATATGGAGAACCAATGGATCTGCAAAATAGAAATGCAACTCAGAAAGTGGATTTCTTATAGAGGATTCAAATGTATCTTTAAGCAGCATCTAGTATTAGGCATCCTCTAAAAATTTTGGCTGCAATGAAGACAACAGTATACAAGCCATTGGCTGCAATGAAGACAACAGTATAAAAGCCGTGTAGATAGTGATGTTGCAAATCAGCAGAGGTTCTATGAAGAAAAAAGAAACAAAAAGAAAAATGAACACGTAAATGCACTGCCCACTCTTCCATTATTGGCAGGATCAAGAGTACACGTTGAGGAGAAAATGCCACATATACCGATATTCACCTGATGCTCAAAAAAAGGGTAGTCCAAGTAAACATCAAAACGGCGTGCAAAAGTGACATTGGTTGAGATCCATTTGACAGAATATGTCAAGTCCAATGTTTTCCCCACTTCCAATGGTTTTGGGCTCTCTTGAGTGAGATTAACGTGAATGATCTGAAAGGAAAAAAATATTTAAAATATATCAACATGTTGGGTTTCATCGAAAAATCATACAGGAGTTTGGAGCCCACTAACTTGATCTTTGTTGTATTTAACAATAATATTCTTATGTGTGTAAAGCACATGCTTCTTATTATCACTGTTTTTATCAGGATGCAGCTCACCAACAAAACCTAAAACATTGATATAAACATTGATACATTAAAAAATTATTTACCAAATCATATACAAGAACAAACTGAAATTATTAAGATAGAGATAAATGTGTGCATACCCCATAAAGGCAGATCGTCTGAATTTGTGTGCAGCAAAGCAGAAACCAAGGAAGATCAGATCAGAAAGGAGAATAAGGTGGAGAATAGAGCACCAAAAAATTATATAAACAAAACAAAACATTAAAGACAACAAAGAAGCATACAACCAAAAGAGCAGCTCCATACTGATATTTCCCAATTTATATGTAGAATAGACCCATTACGGCCACAATATTAAATTACCCAAGCCTATAACAGTGGAACTTATTGGTGTTCATTGGCCAATAACGTGCTGACAGGAATACAGCATATAGATGTAAAGCCTCTATTTCATGTTAAAGAGCTCCATTTCCCAAAGGTCAACATACAATAAACTAAACCCTTGCAAGTTCAATCATGTTCAAAACTTGATGGAATACCGATGCAATATAATACCCTAATACTCTTGATTATGCTTGCATTGTTTCATTTTTTTCTAGCATCTACGCATATTAAGTTCAGTACACCGATAAAATTTGTAGTTAATGCAAATGTGTCCAGAATTATAACTTCTATTCAGACATAAAATGATTAGGCAAGTCATGCCAGTAAGTACTTACACATAGATCATCATTTAATTTATATTCTAAATTCTCTAAATAATCTTTAGGCTCTAAAGACGTAGAGAGAGAGAGGGAGAGAGAATACTATCGTATGACAGCCATTATGGGGGTAGTAATAATTAATTATTTAATTATGTATGCACATATTTAATTATTTATATAAGCTACTATTTTGCGTTAGATAATCATATGGTAGATGGTAATGCAAGGCTAACCAGTTCTTGGATTAAGAGCTTTCCATAACCAACTCGGTATGCTTAATTTTGGAGAACTCTATGATGGTCTTTTAGTTATGCATAATTTACAACGCACAAACATGAATTGACGAGGGAATATTCTTTTTTTTGGTACATAATGGCGTGGTAATCTTATTGAATATATCCTCGATTTACTTTTTGCTATTAAAAGATGCAACCATACTTTCCAGCAGTAATATAGATGTCAGTAGCAAATTTGTGCAGTATGCATATATGTAAATAGTTGCATCTCTCTCAATCTTTTCAATCAGAATAATGCTTTTATCTTGTAACATATTCTACATCAACTTTCAGAAAAAAAACAGAATTCAAGTCCCCATGAAATTTAAGCATGTCTGGTTTTCTACAGCATACAATGTACATCAATAAGTAGTGTAATTTTGACTTTTCAATAGCAATCCATTCATTCATCAAGAATGGTAGCTCATTCATCCACCATCATGGTACTAGCGCATATAAGAGAAGCACAACATACCAATGGAAAACTTTTTTTTTTTTTTACAAGTATCATAAAAGTGCGCTCAATCAAACAACATACCAATGAAGAACTCAAACCAATAATTATTCTCAATAGCATCCTTGAACTGTTTCACCTTTGCTTCATCAAGTTCAAGGTCACAAATGGTACTTTTGTCCACATTTTCTGCCAAATGAAGTCAATATGCGATTGTTATCATATAACCATACCAAGAATAATCATAAAAACGAAATGACAAGAAAAAAATTACATACTTCCAAACTTCATGTCAATTTGGCTATCAATAAGTTCATTTCCACCCAGGACCTCACCAAGACCTCCCCATTTGTGAGCAGCATTACCAGATGGATGACAAAACGGAAGGATATGATAATTGTATGTTTCTTGTGGATTATTGTAAGGCCCAACCTTATTTACCCAAAGGGTAACAGGGTCTTCCGGTTGATACTGCAAGATAAACATATCAGATGTCAAAGAAAGGTATAGGTAGCTACCAGAATATGTGAATGAGGACCAATACATAAGATCCAATGCACTGGAATGAAAGAAAGAGCTGTACTTGCAATTAGTGTCATAAGAACAAAATTGATAAAAAAAAATTAAAGGAAAAATAAACACCTACCTTCCCTGAGGTTTGCCATAATTACAGAGACCTCCCTTCTAGTGTGAAAAATAACACTGACCTCTCCTATCAGATGTAATTTTGTAATAGATTCCCTCTTCTCCTGACGGTCAATGATGGTCACAACAGTATTTACTGATGTCATTAACTTAAAATTCTAAAATGACAATTGTCCACTTGTAAAGCATGTAAGGACATCATTATCCTTGGTATATTCTGTGAAACAACATAAATACCCTCAATTTTATTTCGCTCTTTTTCTCTTCTTCTTCCTTTCAAAATTCTATAACATATATAAATAATTAAATGTGTGTGTATATTCACACACAAACATGATATATACCCAACTAACTTTTAAAAAAAACTTCATCAATTGAGTATCCACATGCTTCTTTTATATCCTCATGAATCAATTTCTAGCTTCTTTCCATTTGATTTTCTCCCTCATCCTTCATAAGCTTTTAGTTTCAGGGTCTTCAATTCTTCGAAGTTTGATTACCAGAAAATGAAGTACAGCACAAGAAAATCCTCTTCACTTAAAGACAATGAATCACATCTCTATTCTTTGTCCATCCATTGAGATATCTATTGATTTCTACCGGAATGTTCTTGGGAACATTTTTCCTAATAGAGAGGTATTTTGTATCGAAAACATGTTATCACTAATCAAGAAATTCAAGAACAAGTGTGTTAATCCATTTTGCAAAGATTTCATGATCAATTACATCAAAGTGAAGATTCCTCTCCATCAAAGGATATATATGTGCGCTATATAATTAAGAAATATATATATTTATATAATCATAATATATTACTCATACTACATATTATAAATTATTATATATTTTATATATTATTTTCTATATATTAATGACATATTTAACGTAATGTGTTTATTACATATATTGTATAAGATATTATATAAACCATATTATATATCTATCATATTACATATATTATAGTTCAGTGGGTCATGCCTCGGTCTTCAACATGCTTGATTGATGCTTGGAGAGGGTGCCTTGTGGATCCCACGCTTGCAATTATTGGAGGGTGGCACCCTTATGCATTTGGTGGTGACTATGGAAGGAACGGAATGGAAGATCCTTTGATGGAGAGAAATCTTCTATTGGGGCTTTAAAATCTCTTATTGTTAGCTCTCTTTTTTGCTGGGTTATGGGTAGAAATTGTAAATCTATAGAGGAATTAGTTGATTTTTTGGGTTCTTTGGGTCCTTAGGGTCCCTCTTGGCTTTTGCCCTTTGTGTAGCCTTCGGGATGCATTCCTCTTTTGAATGCTTTCTAATACATTTTTACTTATTGTTTAAGATAAAATTTATATTTAAAATATATAATGTAAATTGTATTAATATATAATATCTAACAAGTAATTTAGGATAAATTTATATTAAATATATATAACATAAATTGTATTAGTATATATAACATAGACTTATGTTACGTATTTTTTTATATAAGTAAAGGATGTATTGTTACGTATGTCTCATATTATGAATGGGTTGGGTCTTGAGTTGTATTGGTTTAGGGATGTGTTCTTAAACTTGGGCCCAAAGTAATTCTACTTGAGCCCCAAGTAGTTGTTTTCCTTGCCTAACAAGGATTTGTATTACTTGTTCACCAAGCTAGGGATAGGAACTCTCTATAAATAGAGAGGGAGTTGTGTGGAGAAGGTAGAGGAGAAAAAGAAGAGGATCGAGTGAGGAGAAAAGAGAGTGTAAGAGGGTAGAGGGACTATAAATGGGTGGGCATTCTTTACAGTTGTATATTCTCTTCTTCATTCATTATAGTGAAATTTCTTCTCTCCATGGACGTAGGTCAAGTTCGGCCGAAACACTTAAAATATTGTGCTATTGTGTGTGTTTCTTGTGATTTGCTTCCGCTGTGCCAAGGGTATAATTCCCAACATATACAAAGAAAGCATTCAAAAGAGGAGCTCATCCCGCTTACAAAGAAAAGAACAAAAGAACTGATATATCCTCATACTATCAACAAAAGACATAAGCTCCTCCACAAATATACACTATTGACCATATGTAATGGCTAGCCCAATAAATGAGGACCCCGCCAAGAGGGTTTGATGCACGCAACCATACCTCCACATGCGGAGATGTTATTTCATGTTTCGAACCTGTGACCTCCAAAGACCCCACCAAAGATAATAGAGGGGCAGCCCTCCAAGCATTCCCACTATCCACTCATCCCAAACTTTAGGCAAGCTCCTCGTGGAAAGCAGTGCAACCAACAACACACCAAACAAGGCAAAAATCAATCCCCATTCATGCCGAGCCACTAGGACAATGCAAGAGAAGATGGTCCACCAGCTCCTCATCTCTCTTCCACATGCAACACCAATTAACCATAACATGACGCCTCCTTCTAAGGTTATCAATAGTCAATTTTTTTTTTTTTAATACATTTATCAATAGTCAATATCCTCTCTGAAACAACTATCCACCCAAAAAACCTCCTTTAAGGGGGGCTTTGGACTTCCAAATGGCCTTCCGAGGGAACTGAGGCTCCTGCACACACATCAACCTCATGTAAAAGGATAAAACCCCGAATCTACCATGAGGATCCGCCACCCAAGCCCACTCATATGACCTAATTAATAATTAATAATTAAAATTGTTTTAAAATATAGTATATTATATAATAGTAAAAAAATAAGAAAATTATTTATTACTCGTAATATTCCCAGTGCACTTTTAATTTGAGACAGAGGGAGTTTATGTTTTATTAATTTTTATTTATTTGAGATAATATATATATATTTATAAGTAAGAATAATATAGACAGGGGAATGCATCCCGATATGAACTCTAAGAGGAGCTTTTAAGCGCCAAACCATCTTCCAGGGAAAATCGGAGCCATAGAAAGAAGTACCCGTGTTGAACACACATTACTCAGTCATGGGTATGGTCGGACTTTATGTTGGACATGTACCCAGAAAACATATCCAATAATTCAATTTTATTATGTTATTACTTCAAAATAAGTGAAATACCTATACTAAACCCTATGTTACTTAAATACATTATTTTACTTTTGAAAATAAAATAAAAATATAAAGATGAATATTTAGTAGTGTCCATGTGTCCTCTTCAGGGATTTTCAATGTCCAACATGTGGATGCATACCCATACACGACACACGTACCCAAGTCCAATGAACATAGCACAACCACTTCCTCATAAGAGCCTTATTAAAAGGCACAAACTAATTTTCATTCTAATAAGCTAAACCTCAAGTTGAAACAATCTTCAATAAGATGAGATTGTGTGGTTGAAGAGTACTGGATACATGGTCAGCTACTCAAACAACTAAATCACACAACAATCATGTCATGTGCATATCTAACTCAAATCCTAACTATGTGAGATTCAAATAGCACTTAGGTTATTAATAGCATGACTCTTTTCTTCTCTATCTTCTGTTTTTAACTCTCTTCTTCTCTCTCTATCTCTCATGTGTCCTAGAGTGAACATTAGATCTTTTTTTTTTTTTTTTTTTTTTTGATAAATAAGATTATATTAGAAAGCGTTCAAAAGAGGAACACATCCCAAACACTGTATAAGGCCGAAGCCAAAGAAATGGTCCTACGAACCCATAGAACCCAAAAAATCTATAATCTCCTCTATAGATTTACAATTTCTCCCCATAACCCAACTAAAAAGAGAACTAATGATAACAAATTTCAAAGTCCCAATGGAAGATTCCTTCCCATCGAAAGATCTTCTATTCCACTCCTTCCAAATGCACCACGAAACACAAAAGGGAACAACCCACCAGCATTCATGAGCATGGGCTCCCACGATTTGTGACTATTGATAGTTCAACACTTAATAAATCATGAAAAGTGAAAATTCAATGAAGAATAAAAGATTCCAAGGATTGAAAGCTGGAGAGTACAGATTGGGAATTCCAAGTTTACAAACGGGGGCAAGTCCACTTACAATCTGCCAAGTCGCATTCAGAACATGAAACAATATACTCATGCATGGACTGCCAGTTAGGATCTCCCAAGAAAAAGAACCAACATGGAGCCCAAACCAAACAGAACCCCTGACCACTGCGTGAATCAATTGAAGAAAATTTAAATTGATAATTCATAAGAGAAAAGTCAACTTGGTGCTGTTGAAGTTATAGTGAAGAGTCAAATGGACTATTTTCAAATTCTCTGAATCTACCCAGCATCTCTATTAAAGTAATTGTAGTGCGTCCATGAGCAAGAATTTGTTTCAACAAGAAAAGCCCATGCAGCTGCCACTCAACCACTAAGGTCACGACATTACCCAGAAGATCACAATATCTTGTCATACATGCCTACCCCACCTCGAGCTAGCACTAACAGCATCGGTGCCACACAGTCAATTTGCATGACCTCACTACAATTTCAAATGCCTAATGTGCATTACGCATTGGATCTACATACATGCATACATATACAGGTAGGTAGAGAGAATCAGAGAGAGAGACAACATAAACAAAAACTACTTGAAATTTAAATTGCACACCATACTGCACATAAATAAACCCAAAGAAACGATATTTAAAGTACTTGACCACCAACAGTCAGGCCATGGGATAGCAATTGAAGGGATAGCAATGTAATTCAAACAATACACATACCAAAACCTCATAATCTGAATATCATTTTCTGTATCTTTATTCAAGATCTACACATATATATAGATCTATATAAAATGTAAATACTATGAAATGAACAACTCGATCTACGAATTGAAATGTTATATAGCAACAACAAAGCTAGTTAAAATTAGGGTTTGGAGAGCAAGTGAACTGTACCTTATGATCGGAATCAGAAGCGAACGCCGGCAAGACGATGAGGAGGACGGCGAGGGCGAAGAAAGAGAAGGATTGGATGATGGGCAGCATGGGGATCGCCGGCGATGGTTTGAATCTAATGGTGGATATTGAGGGCTGGAGAGGTCAGAACTTTGTCTCGGATTTGCTTCGATTTGGCCTTCTTCGAAAGGGGTTAGAGTGAGACGGATCACAGTCGGAGTTCGTAGATTTTCGACTTGTGACTAGTTGTGAGCATTGGTTTCAGTCAACTAAAATACGTCACGGATTTGCATTTCATTGGAATTATTAGGGCATGAATTGAGTGGGCTTTTTACCTTTTGGCGGAAGAGGTTACTTTTCAGTACAAATTTGTGTTGCACTTTGTTGTATACACAAGTCCACCCCGTTTATTTCAAAAAGACAATTGTTATTGGCTAAATTATACTACAAAAATAAATAAATAAATAAATAAATATAATTAGGAATTTATTTTTTTCCCCATCCACAACGGTGGTACGGGGAAATTTAGAACGCCGCATAATCCACCTCAGAGCACATACACTTTCGTCCCACTTTCATTGGCACATTGAGTATTTATTAAAAAAATTTCTAGGGTGATCCCAAAGAAATTCCAACTCTGGGCAATTACTCGAAAAATTCTCTAGAGGTGGGCTCGAAGAATTCCAACTCAGGGTTGAATTTTTATTTTTATTTTTTGACAAGAAATACACGTCACTCACACACCCATTTGCCTCTTTAGAAAGTCAAATCATCACATCCACTTTGAAAAGATAGATAATATACCACTATACCAAAAGCCCTTATTATTTAGAGCTTTAAATCATTTCGTTGTTTGAAAAAAATATCTTCAATTGTTTGAAAGATTTCATCATCTTTAGGAGCCCTCTAATCCCAAATGGGTGCTATTTACTAAGGTGATACAATCGAAGCACAAATTTTTTTCTTTGAGTGTTGTGACAATATCAGACACGTTAGAAGTATATTGAAAATTGAATATTCTATTTTTTAATTGAACACAACTAGGGCACGGTAAGGCAATGTATATGTGGATTGCTAGCCAAGTATGCAATTGTGCTGACGTGGCTTGCTACAGTTTTTTGCTATCCCAAACTTATTATATGAGTCAATCACTATTTATTATTTTATTAATTTATTATTTTAAAAAAATATTTAATATTTTTAGCAAAAAAATATGGAATGTTTTTTGACTGGATGAATGCTTTTTGTAGTACAATTTGCAAGTAGCAGGCTCACTCGCAATTGCAATACTCTCTAGCGTCTAAAACATACATACATACATATATATATATATATATACATACATACATACATATATATATATATATCTAGACATGCAATAATAGAGCTTCTAATGACATAAATTTGAGTCCAATTAAAACTTGTTTAGTTTAAATGGAAGTAACAAGAAAATTAAGATTAAAACTTTTTAAACATTTTACAAGTTTAATTGGCAAAAAGGAATAGTTTTGAGAAAAAATTGCTTTTCATAACCATATAATTCTTTTTTGTTTTTTTTTTTTTTTTTTTTTTTTTTTTTTTGTTGGCAAGAAATACACATCACTCACACACCCAATTGCCTCTTTAGAGACTCGAATCATCACTTCCACTTTGAAAGAGATATATGAGATACCACCGTACCAGAAGCCCTTATTATTTAGAGCTTTAAATCATTTCGTTGTTTTAAAAAAATATCTTCAATTGTTTGAAAGATTTCATCATCTTTAGGAGCCCCTTTAATCCCAAATGGGTGCTATTTACTAAGGTGATACAGTCGAAGCACAATTTTTTTTCTTAGGGTGTTGTGACAGACACGTGTGAGATATGGTTATAAGTATCATGAAAATTGAATATTCTATTTTCTAATTGGACACGGTTGGGGCAAGTTAAGGCAATGTATACGTGGATAGCTAACTAAGTCAGCAATTGTGCTAATGTGGCTAGCTACAGTTTTTCGCTATCGCAAACTTATTATAATTTATTATTTTATTAATTTATTATTTTAAAAAAAATGTTTAATATTTTTAGGAAAAAATTATGGAATGCTTTTTGATCGATGAATGCTCTTGTAGTACAATTTGTAAGTAGCGGGCTCACTCGCAATTGCAATACTCTCTAGCATCTAAAACATACATATATATCTAGACATGCAATAATAGAGCTTCCAATGACATAAATTTGAGTCCAATAAAAACTAGTTTAGTTTAAATGGAAATAACAAGAAAATAAAGGAAATTAAAACTTTTTAAACATTTTACAAGTTTAATTAGCATAAAGGAATAGTTTTGAGAAAAAAATACTTTTCATAACCATATAATTTTTCCATAAAAATTTCCTCAAAACAATACAGGAAAATTTTGAGTTTTATGAACTTAGCCTTGTATGATAAGTTTCATACTATGCTAACCAAATAGATGATAAAATTATTATTATTCTTTCCTTCCTTACTTTCTTTTACTTTTCACTTTCTACTATTATTTTTCAGCAAACCAAATGTAGCCATAAACAATATATATATATATATATATATATATAAAATATGTGTGTATATTTTAGACATTTAAATTGATAATTTTTATATGCTCCCAATCAACCACAAGTTGATATGTAATTAAAAATATATACATATATTTATTTAATTGCATATCAACTTAATTGACTGGGACGAAGTGATGGAAATTATACATAATTTTTTCAACAAATGATACATCCTCGAACCTAAATTGATAAATAAAAAAAAATTTGCAAGCACAAGGCAAAAACTAGAAAACTTAAGGGCCTGTTTGTTTAGTATTTTTACTTCGTGTTTTTTGCTTTTGCTAGTGTACTGCAGCGAAGCAAAAGCACGAAGCATGCTTGGTAATATTTGTTGTGCTTTTGAATAGTAGCAAAGTGCTTCCAAAATTGAGGCTAAAAATAATGCTTTTGTTTGCTTTTGCACTCTAGCAAAGCACTGTTCAATTTTTTTTTCTTCTAAAATAACATTTTTTACTAACCATTCAAATTTTCAAACTTGAACACTTTTACCAAACATACTTTCATATTTTTGCTTCTAAAAATCTTGTAACAAATTTATGTTACCAAATAAACTTTTATATAGTATTAAATACACTTTAAAACATAAATATTACTTCTGTTTCGGTAAAAACAAAAACACAAAGCAAACTGTGGTTGCCAAATGGACCCTAAAGTTAAGAGAGTTTCTAAGTTGTCTCTCTCTCTCTCTCTTCGATTTCCCATCTCTCCCTCTTCTTCTTATTCTTCTTCTTCTTCTTATTCCTCTTCCTCTTCCTTTTCTCACTTCTCGTTGCACGATTCCCCCTCTCTCCGTTTCTGGCTCTCTCTTCGATTTTGCAAAATCATCAAAAGTGAAAGCAGGGTATTTGTCTTGTGCTGGTTTGTAAAAAATCAAAGGGGAAAAAAATATAAACAAAGTTCTCTATTTGATTGAAGGTATGAATTCAATCTTTTTCCAATATATTTTTTTAGTTTTTGTATATTGTATTCATTTTGGCGACTTTTCTTATATGTTGATAAGAAATCAAATAAGGTGTATGACTCGGGGATGTTTTAATGAGATTTTTGTTTGATTGATTCTTTCTTGCGTGGGATTAAATCATAGTCATATTGATTGTATATCTACTTGATGACTAGAAGAAGCTTTGGCACCTTTAGTATGGGGTTAGGTATTGAGTTTAGTTTCTGTTTGTTATGAAACGGTCAGTATGTATGTGTGTGTGTGTATATATATATTAATTTATAAAGGCCATGATCTTATTTTCTAAATCACAGGCATGATTTTATGCTCTCCACCATTATTTTGTCATGTTCTACATATATTACAACTTCTATACAACAATTCTCAAACAAATAATTTAAACTTCCAATGTTTAGTATGCTATTCTTTGTTTTTAAGAAGATTTTTTAAGTTCCCATTTTATAGTCTTTGGACTTTCAAATACTGCAATAAACTTTTACACTATTGTTCAATTGTCTCCTTGCTAGAGACCGTTAATTCATGGAGTACATGTTAATTCCAATTTCGCATGCTAAGCAAGAAAAAATGAGAATTTTTAATAGTATATCAGAAAAGTTTCCGATGCACCAGCACTCATTCCTCACCAATTTCACAACATTTCCTTCATGATCCAGCTAAGTGGTATCATACTCTACGTGTAGGATATCAAAGAATAGATTGTGTAACTACTTGAACTAGAAATCGGAATGGTAATGAACATTATGTAATAGAAGCTCAGTAACACTAGAATTGGTCTGATTCTTGCAAAAATGAAAGACAAACCATCTAACTTTGAGGGGACTGAGAGATTGTTCTCGAGCATGAAAGAAAGATCATGCATTTGTGACAATGGAATCTCTACAACAATCGTTTGCGTCTTTGACTTCTATATTAGCCTTTGAGTCTTTGACTATATGGTTGCACTGGAAACATCTCCGTCTTTTTCAAATAGTCTAACATTTCCTCCAACTTCATTTTTTGTCAAGGCGGTCAAGCTATTCTGCCAAGGTAGTGGTCACTACCATGTCACCTGCAATCTCTCCATAATCTGTCCATTCTAATCTCTCTCTGCTTTCTCTTAGAGTGTTAAGAATTGGATTCTCTCTCTTGTCTTTGTTGTATTGCTACATTGGTTCTTTAGAGGCCTTGCTAACCTTTTACTTTATATTGGTTTGGATGTGTTTCATATATTAAGATTTTCACTTACTCTTTATTGTGTTCACTCTTAACTTAAATTGTCATTTGACATATACGAGATGCCTTGCAATGAGGAAAGTGGTAATAATGATGAAGTGAATGAACAAGATTTGCAAAATTTTCATTAGTTGATGATGAAGTGGATATGGTAGGGATGATTTTTTATTCTGAGGAAGAAGTTCGTAATTGCTATATGAACTATGCGAAGCATTTGGGTTTTGATGTAGTAAAAATAAGTACAAAAAATAGAAGTGATGGAAAGTCAACTTACTTTTCACTTGCCTCTGGTCAATATGATAAGGCAACATCAAAGGCAAAAGACTCTTTTCATCCAAGGCCTTCAACCAACACCAATTGTAAGGCCAAAATCAATGTCAGAGGTAAAGATGATGGAAGGTTCATTATTACTCGTGTCTTTCTTGGTCTAATAGTGTACTAAGTCCGGGAAAGGTTCGACATTTCATATGTAACAAAACATTGGATTCTTATGTCAGAAAAAAAAATTGCAATTGAATGATTTAGCCGGGATAACACTAAGCAAAAATTTTCATTCACTTCTTGTTTAAGCTGGCGGTCAA